GCCCAGTTCGAGCAGGAAGACCTTCCCTGTCAAAAGATGGGGTGCGAGCGTCGAGGGGCACACTTTGATTGAGAAAAAACAAAATGCACCGGTGGGGGGATCAACCATAATTATTCTTCAAAAATGAGAAATCAACAACAACAACAACAACAACAACAACAACAACAACAACAACAACACCAATCACTTTACCCGAACGCTCAGTGTTCTCACCAGTGCCAGGGTTTTCATGCGACGCCAGCCAATACCCCCACTTTGTGGGGGGGCAGTGCAAGCTCTACCAAATATCCACACGACTCTTCGCCACCACCCACACCCAGCTTCCCGCCCTATGACGTTCGGACACTTCACTTCGTGGCCTGCGGACGACCGTGGCTACTACACTGGCGTGGAGTACACACCCACAGAAGTAGGGGGACGTTTTATTCTCGGCGGCCGAGGGCGCAACCTATGGCGCAACCAATAGGGGGACGTTTTATTCTCGGCGGCCGAGGGCGCAACCTATGGCGCAACCGCAAGGGATTGTGGCCCCTGGCAGGCGCGCGAACCCCGTTGCAAGAGCGTGCGAAAGTAGCTCGCGCGAGCTCATGTAACATAAATGTTGGAAAACCATTGGTTTTTTTAGGATTCGGACAGCGCGCGCGGGTAGAAATTTTGAAAAGTCGTGCAGGTGTTTTTCGAGGACCTACGGTGCGATTCGTGTGATTTTATGATGCGCGGTGCTAAAATTCTTAAGAAGCCCAATGGTTTTTGGAGATTTCGGCGTGCGCGCGCGAAGAAAAAACGAATGTGTCCCGCATGGTATTATTTGACAGGGATGATGGCCCTGGCAGGTGCGCAACCGTTGTCGCAGAAGTTCGAAAAAGTTGCTCGCAAAAGCCCGTTTGACAGAAATGTTTAAAAAGTGTTGGGTTTCCTACGAATCCGCAAGAGCGCGCGGGATGAGATTTTGACAATTTTTTTGTTGAAAAACCATTGGTTTTTTGATGTTTTTATGTTAAAATCGCTGCGAACACTAAGGTTTTGGAAGGATTTCGTCTTGCGCGCGCGAATGTCCACTTTACCTTATTTTTTGCAAGGGATTCTTGAAATTTGATTATATTAGAACAAGAAATGTCATTTTCTATTGTTTTTTGCAAGGGAAAGCGGATTACAACAAAACAACCGGATCCTGTACACACCCTCTTTTCTGAGGCTTCCTCACGAAAATGATGAAAATGTAGCTGCGGCCTAGGCGGCGCAGGGGGGGCGCGCACCAGGGGGCCCAACAATAATTATTCTTTAGAATAAATAATGTTCAACAACAACAACAACAACAACAGCAACAGCAACAGCAACAGCAACAACAGCAACAGCAGCAACAGCAGCAACAGCAGCAACAGCAACAGCAACAGCAACAACAACAACAACAACAATCACCACAACAACAACCATCAGTTTAAGACTGCTCGCTCTTATCTGCTCGAGTGTCATTCAACGCGTATTTCCCGAACCCTCGATCATCGCCCTCTTCGTCTTCCATCGTAAACATTTGGGAGGTATATATTTCTTCCCTGCAGGCTGGGCCCAGGCAAGCGGCGGGGCGGCCGCGGACCGTCGGCCTGGCCAGCAGCAGCGCTGATCGGCGGCAACCCGACCCAAAGAGGGACGGACAGGGGACCGACCACGACGACGATGACGGCGACGACGACGACGACGACGACGACTGCGGCGGCGACGACGACGACGACGACAAGCGAAAGCGAGAGCGAGAGCGAGAGCGAGAGCGACAGCGGGGCCACGAAGGGCAACAACAACAACAACAATCAGTTTAAGACTGCTCGCTCTTATCTGCTCGAGTGTCATTCGACGCGTATTTCCCAAACCCTCGATACCCGCCCTCTTCGTCTGCAATCGTACCCATTTGGGAGGTATGCATTTTCTTCCCTGCAGGCTGGGCCCAGGCAAGCGGCGGGGCGGCCGCGGACCGTCGGCCTGGCCAGCTGCAGCGCTGATCGGTGGCAACCCGACCCAAAGAGGGACGGACAGGGGACCGACCACGACGACGATGACGGCGACGACGACGACGACGACGACGACGACGACTGCGGCGGCGACGACGACGACGACGACAAGCGAAAGCGGGAGCGAGAGCGACAGCGAGAGCGACAGCGGGGCCACGAAGGGCAACAACAACAACAATCAGTTTAAGACTGCTCGCTCTTATCTGATCGAGTGTCATTCGACGCGTATTTCCCAAACCCTCGATACCCGCCCTCTTCGTCTTCAATCGTACCCATTTGGGAGGTATACATTTTCTTCCCTGCAGGCTGGGCCCAGGCAAGCGGCGGGGCGGCCGCGGACCGTCGGCCTGGCCAGCTGCAGCGCTGATCGGCGGCAACCCGACCCCAAGAGAGACGGACAGGGGACCGACCACGACGACGATGACGACGACGACGACGACGACGACGATGACGACGACGACGACGACGACGACGACGACGACGACGACGACGACGGCGGCGACGACGACGACGAGCGAAAGCGAGAGCGAGAGCGAGAGCGAGAGCGACAGCGGGGCCACGAAGGGCAATAAGGGGGCCACGAAGGGCGACAGCGGGGCCACGAAGGGCATGCGTATGGGGCCACGAAGGACGTGAACAAGCGGGGGCCACGAAGGGCAGATAATGCGGGGCCACAGGGCAACGACCGGGCCACTGAGGATAGCAACGGGGCAACGTAGGACAGCGAAGGGGCTTCGAAGGGCGACAGCGGGGCCACGAAGGGCATGCATATGGGGCCACGACAGGCGCGAACCAGCGGGGGCCACAGCGGGCTTACGTATATTGGGCCGCAGAGGGCAGCGAGGGGGCCTCTGAGGGCAGCGACGGGGCCACGAAGGGCAGCGAGCGACAGCGGGGCCACAAAGCGCATGCATATGGGGTCGCGACGGGCGCGACCGAGCGGAGGCCACGAAGGGCGTACATACATGGGGCCACGAAGGGCTCCGAGGGGGCCACGAAGGGCTGCAACGGGGCCGAGAAGGGCAGCGAGCGGGCCACGAAGGGCTGCAACGGGGCCACGACGGGCTGCAACGGGGACACGAAGGGCTGCAACGGGGCCCCGAAGGGCAGCGAGGGGGCCGCGCAAGCGTGCAACGGGGCCACGAACGGCAGCGAGGGGGCCACGAAGGGCTGCAACAGGTCCACAAAGGGCAGCGAGGGGGCCACGAAGGGCTGCAACGGGGCCACGAAGGCCAGCGAGGGCGCCACAAAGGGCAGCGAGGGGGCCACGAAGGGGTGCAACGGGGCCACGAAGGGCAGAGAGGGGGCAACGAAGGGCTGCAACGGGGCCCCGAAGGGCAGCGAGGGGGCACCGCGAGGGTGCAACGGGGCCACGAACGGCAGCGAGGGGGCCACGAAGGGCTGCAACGGGGCCACGACGGGCTGCAACGGGGACACGAAGGGCTGCAACGGGGCCACGAAGGGCTGCAACGGGGCCACGAAGGGCAGGGAGAGGGCCACGAAGGGCAGCAACGGGGCCACGAAGGCCAGCGAGGGCGCCACGAAGGGCTGCAACGGGGCCACGCAGGACAGCGAGGGGGCCACGAAGGGCTGCAACGGGGCCACGAAGGGCAGCGAGATCCCGACTCCTCAATAAGATGTGAGGGAATCATAAGCGTGAGCGCGACTCCTGGGTGCCTGAGTGTCGGGAGCGCGGCGCTTGAGTAAATTGCGGGAATTCCAACGCAAGAGTGCGATTCTGGAGTAAATTGCAAGTCTCCAGCGTGAGCGCTACTCCAGAAACCGAGAAAGCGATTCTGGAATAAATTGTGAGCACTCCCAAGCGATAGCGCGATTCCTGAGTAAAGTGCGAGGAAGTCTCAGGCGGGAGCGGGGGTCCTGGTTAAATTGTGAGGAAGTCTCAGGCAGGAGCCGTTGTTGTTGCAATCCGGGGCCAACAACCCAGTTTGAGCCCCGTGACCTTCCCTGTTAAAAACAAGGTGCGAGTCCCGGAGGATGCACTTCAATTAAAAAACACAATGGTCACCGGAGGGGGTCAACGATAATTAATCGTCAATAGTGGGAACTCCACAACAAAAACAACAACAACAACAACAACAACAACAACAACAACAACGACGACAATAATAACAATAACAAGACCAACAACAACAACAAGAAGAACAACAACAACAAGAACCAGAACAAGAACAACAACAACCACAACAACAACAACAACAACAGCAACAACAACAACAACAGCAGCAACAACAACAACAACAACAACAGCAAAATATCAACAGTTACAACAACAATAAGAGCAACCACATCAGCAACAAGAACAACAACACCAGCAGCAACAGCCTCGTCATCACCACCACCGTCACCATCATTATCAGCAGCAACAGCATCATCACCATCGGCATCGTCGTCGTGGTCGTCGTCGTCATTAGTATTATCATCAGCTTCATCATCATCAGCGTCATCATCATCAGCATCAGCATCATTATCATCGTCATCAGCAGCATCATAATCAGTAGTAGCAGCATAAACATCATCAGCATCAGCAGCAACATCAGCATCGTCATCACCATCATCATCATCCTCATCAGCAGCAGCATCATAATCAGTCGCAGCAGCATAAACATCATCATCATCCTCATCATCAGCAGCATCATCATCATCAGCACCAGCATCACCAGCACTACCATAACCATACTTTCGGGAAGAGGGGGCGTCCAGGAATCGGGGATATGATCCCATCCCTCCTCCTCCTCCTCCTCAAGCTCCTCCCCCTCCTCCTCCTCCTTCTCCTCCTCCTCCTCCTCATATAACCCTCCCCCCTACCCCGTTCGCTCCCCTCCCCCCACCCACACCCCCTACCGCATCCTCCTGCCTGTTTCTCCTTCTCCCCCTCCTCCTCCTCCTCCTCCTCCTCCTCCTCCTCCTCCTCCTCCTCCTCCTCCTCCACCTCGCCCTTCCCCTCGCCAGTATCACCCTCGAACTCGGGCTGCTCGCCTGAGGGTGATCAGGGTCCCGATGTGGTCAGGGCCAAGGACATGCAACAGTCCTGGAGAAGGGATGGGAGAAGGAAGAGGGGGAGGAGCAGCAGCAGGGGTACGAACAGGACAAGGACGGGGGAATCCCATTCGAACTTGGGGGGAAAGGGCCCTCGCCACCAGGGCTGGATCCGCCCCGATCGTCTGGTCCGAGCGTGTTCCGACAAGTTCGAGGAGGAGGATGGGGAGGAGGAGGAGGAGAAGGAGGCGCAGGGGAGGGGAAGAGCAGGAGGAGGACCAGAAGCGGGAGGAGGAGGAGGAGGAGGAGGAGGAGGCGGAGGCGGAGGAGGAGGCGGACGAGGAAGAGGAGGTGGAGGATAAGGAAGATGAGGAGAAGGAGGGGAAGGGGTGGAGGAGAAAGGGAGGCGAAGGAGGAGGAAAGCGACAAGGAGGTGGGGCATGAACAGGAGGAGCAGGAGGAACCAGCGTCGCCGAGAAGAGGAGGGCGAGAAGGAGCAAGAAGACGGGCGAATGGCAGAGCAAGACAGCGACTCCCCGCTGGCCACCTTCGCGACCATCGGGATCCACGCAACCACTTAAGAGACGCGGGGGGCGTGCGAGATCGGTTTTGCAGGTGCTGCAGGGTTCTCCTCATCCTCCTCCTCTCATCCTCCACATCCCCGCGTAACCATATACTTCAACCTCAGCCTCCACAGCAGCATCCTCGCCAGGAGCATCACCACCAATGGTAGTCATGATCATGATCGTGCGCTTTCATGGCGATGAGCCTCTCCATCAACATCCACATCATCATCATCATCATCCCCACCACCATCATCCTTATCACCATCATCATGATCAGATTCAGCACCACAAGCATCACCGAAGCATCGCCTTCATCGCAAGCATCGCCATCATCGCCAGTATCGCCATCGCAATCACTCGTTTCATCAGTAGCGACAATAACTGGCAGCTCATCATCGTGAGCATCACCATCACCATAATCACAACCTTCACCATCATCACCAGCAGCATCATCATCGTCATCGGCATCATCATCGTAGGTGTCGTAGTCACCCTAAGCAGTAGCATCGGCAGTGTATGTATGTAGATAGATGTATGTATGTGTGTATGTATGCATGTGTGGACGTTTGTGTGTATGTCTGCACGTGCAGACGCATGCCTTCAAGCATGTATGTCTGTCTATAGGTCTGCCTGTCGGTCTGTCTGTATGTATGTATGTATGTATTTATGTTTGTATGTATGTATGTGTGCATGTATGAATGAATGCATGTATGTATGTTTGTATGTATGTGTATGTGTATGTATGTGTGTATGTGTGTATGTGTATGTGTATATGTGTGTATGTATGCATGTATGTGTGTATGTGTGTATGTGTGTATGTATGTATGTATGTATGTACGTACGTACGTACGTACGTACGTACGTATGTATGTGTGTGTATGTATGTATGTATGTATGTATGTGTGTATGTATGTATGTATGTATGTATGTTTGTATGTATGTATGTATGTATGTGTGTATGTATGTATGTATGTATGTATGTATGTATGTATGTGAGTGGGTATGCATGTCGGAGGTTGGGGGGAGTAAATGGCCCCAACCAGGAAATCGGTTTCGGTTCGTGTCGTGCGTGCGGGCGAGGCGAAGCCGCACGGGCTCCTGAAGTTGTAGAGGCCACATGGAACTGAAAAAGATCACCCGCCCCCCCCCGCCCCCCCCCGGCTGGCCGCCGCCCCCGATGGTTGTCCCGCGGGTTGTCTTGATGGTTGTCCCGATGGTTGTCCCGATGAATGTCCCGATGGTTTTCCCGATGGTTGTCCCGATTGTTGTCCCGATGGGTATCGCGAAGGTTGTCCCGATGGTTGTCCCGATGGGTGTCCCGATGGGTGTCCTGGTGGTTGTCCCGATGGTTGTCCTGATGGTTGTCCCGATGGCTGTCCCGATGGGTGTCCCGATGGGTGTCCCGATGGCTGCCCCGATGGTTGTCCCGATGGTTGTCCCGATGATTGACTCGATGGTTGTCCCGATGGTTGTCCCGATGGTTGTCCAGATAGTTGTCCCGATGGTTGTCCCGATGGTTGTCCTGATAGTTGTCCCGATGGGTGTCCCGATGGTTGTCACGAATGTTGACTCGATGGTTGTCCCGATGGTTGTCCCGCGGGTTGTCCCGATGATTGTCCGATGGTTGTCCCGATGGTTGTCCGTATGGTTGCCACGATGGTTGTCCCGATGGTTGTCCCGATGGTTGGCCCGATGGTTGTCCCGATGGCTGTCCCGATGGTTGTTCCGATGGTTGCCCCGATGGTTGTCCCGATAGTGTTGTTCCGACGGTGTTGTCCCGATGGTTGTCCCGATGGTTGTCCCGACGGTTGTCCCGACGGTTGTCCCAATGGCTATCCCGACGGTTGTTCCGATTGTTGTTCCGACGGTTGTCCCGATGGTTGTCCCGATGGTTGTCCCGATGGGTGTCCCGATGGTTGTCCCGATGGTTGTCCCGACGGTTGTCCCGATGTTTGTCCCGATGGTTGTCCCGATGGGTTTCCTGATGGGTGTCACGATGGTTGTCCCGATGGTTGTCCCGATGGTTGTCCCGATGGTTGTCCCGACGGTTGTCCCGATGATTGTCCCGATGGTTGTCCCGATGGGTTTCCTGATGGGTGTCCTGAAGGTTGTCCAAGATAGGTGGATACTCAGTGGCAGATAGACAATTTGATAGATCGGAAGTTGGGGGGTGCGAACGGAAGTGACCCCAACCAGGAAATCGGAAGTGGCCCCAACCGGGAAGCGACCCCAATCGCGAAGCTGCGCGAGTTCCAGCACTGGTGGAAGCCACATGGAGCCCAAAGGGCCGCCACCCCCCCTCGGGCGGGCGCGTGTGCCGTGGTTGTCCCGCGGTTGTCCCGCGGTTGTCCAGATGGTTGTCCCGATGGTTGTCCCGATGGTTGTCCTGATTGTTGTCCCCATGGTTGTCCCGATGGGTGCCCCGATGCCTCCCCCGATGGGCGTCCCGACGGTTGTCCCGATGGTTGTCCCAATGGTTATCCCGACGGTTGTTCCGATGGTTGTTCCGACGGTTGTCCCGATGGTTGTCCCGATGGTTGTCCCGATGGGTGTCACGATGGTTGTCCGGATGGTTGTCCCGATGGTTGCCCCGATGGTTGCCCCGATGCTTGCCCCCATGGTTGTCCCGATGGTTGTCCCGATGGTTGTCTTGATGGTTGTCCCGATGGTTGTCCCGATGGTTGTCTCGATGGTTGCTCCGATGGTTGCCCCGATGGTTTTCCCGATGGTTGTCCGATGGTTGTCCCGATGGTTGCCCGATGGTTGTCCGATGGTTGTCCCGAAGGTTGTCCCGATGGGTGTCCCGATGGTTGTCCCGATGGTTGGCCCGATGGTTGTCCCGATGGCTGTCCCGATGGTTGTCCCGATGGTTGTCCCGATGATTGTCCCGATGGTTGTCCCGACGGTTGTCCCGATGGTTGTTCCGACGGTTGACCCGATAGAGTGGGCGATAGATAGGTAGATAGTCCGAGAGATAGGTAGATAGATAGATCCATGGACCGATAGAGAGATACATAGATAGAACGGTGGCAAGTGCCATGGATTGCAGCAGTAGTTTACTTTCGTCTTGAGTGCGAAGCCATTAAAGCATGCGCGTCTGCACCGCCGCGGCAGCCCCACGTAGCCTCCCTACGTCGCCAGGCTCTGACAGCGGGTAGCGGGTCGTGAGGGTTAGCCGCGGGAGTGGGATTGCAACAGTTGTGTTTTTTCTCGAGTGCGAGGCCGTTCGGCATAGAAGTGGGCGCGCCACCAAGTGACGCTGGCATATCGTGCACCAGCCTGTACCAAAAAAACAATCATGTCACATGGCCACCACCACCACACCATCACGCCATCACCAGCACCATCACCGCCATCACCACCACCACCACTCACCATCATCACCGACACCACCAGATATATAGATAGATCGAGAAATATATGTGTATATATAGATACCTAAATATGTAGAGAGGCAGGTAGATACAAAGATAGGTATACCGATGGAGCATATATAGATAGATATAGGCAGGTGGATAGGTACATATAGACAGATAGGCAAATATCTAGATACATAGATCGGATGTTGGGGGATATGTGCGGAAAGTTGTTGTCCCGATAGGTAGGTAGATAGATAGGACTGGTTGATGGATCGACTCGGTAGATAGATAGATAGATTGTTGGTAGATGGATAGATAGACTGATTGTTGTGTCGACTCGATCGAGATAAAAAAAAAAAAAAAAAAAAAAAAAAAAAAAAATCATGGATAGATAGAAACATGTAAAGATGGATGGGTTGTGAGATAGAAGCAAGCGGAAGTAGGGGGTTTATGTTTGCCCTCGCATTATTTGGTGGCGCTAGGTGGGAGTCATCGCATGTCGACCACCTCCCCATTCCCCCCCCCCCGACCTCCCTATCCCCCGTCGGGTGATCCTAGCGGAATGCGTGTATGTATATATGTATGTATGCATGCATGCATGTATGTGTGTACGTGTGTACGATTATATGTATGTATGTGTGTGTGTATGTATTGATGTGCGTATGCATGTGTGTATGTACGGATGTGTGTGGTTGTGTGTGTTTGTATGCGTAAGTATGTATGGATGGATGGGTGTGTGTATGTATGTGTGTAATTGTGTAGGCGTATGTGTCAATGCATGTGTGAAGACCTGTATGCTCGTATGCATGTATGACGAGTTATGTAGGTGTATGTGCGTATGTGTGTATGAGTGTATGTATGTATTGTGGATGTATGTATGTTTGTACGTATGTACAAGTATAAACGTGTATTCGAGTATGTGCGCATGCACGCATGCATGCATGGATGGATGAATGCATGTATCTACGTATGTATGTATGTATGCATGTATGTATGTGTGCCTGTGTGTATGTGTATGTGTGTATGTCTGTGTGGATGTATGCTTGCATGGATGAGCGGATGGATGGGTGTGTGTAAATGTGCATGCTTGTATGAGTGTGTGCGTGTATGTGTGTATGTATGTATGTATGGCTGTATGTATATATGGATGCATGCATGCACGTATGTATGAGTGTATGTATGTACGCATGCATACATGCATGCATGTAGGTATGTATGGCTGTATGTGTCTGTGTGTCTGTGTACGTTTGCATGCATGCATGGGTGCATGCTTGTATTCCTAGATGTATGCTTGCATGTGTGTATGTACATGTGCACGCACGCCTGCATGCATGCATGTACGTACGCATACAGAGGTATCTACACAGCGGAAGCATGGCTCACCACAAAAGGGGGGGGGGTCGCCGCCGCTGCCGCCGCCAGCGGCTCCGTACAGCGCGCCCAGGCCGAGCGCAGCGCCCCAGCCGACCGAGGCGCCGCCGCCCCCGGCGCCCTCCGCGAACGCCGGCAGCAGCGACCGCTGGCCCAGGCCGCCGGGCGGAGTGCCGCCGCCCGCGGCGCGCCGGGCGAGCGCCTGCAGCAGCGAGCGGTGGGCGAGGCCCCGCGGCCCCGCGGCCGAGCCCGGCGCGGCGGCGGTCGGCTCGGCGGGCTCGCCGCGGCGCCGGCGAGGGGTTCTCGGCGGAGGCGGCGTGTGCGTCTC